ATAGGCGCCGAGCCAAAAAAAAGGTTTTCTTAATAGCTATTATTAGAAATTTTGTTTTTAAAAATAGAAAAGATTAGGATTTTATTGAAGTTGTTATTTCAACACAAAAGGATTTTCTAACAATTCCATGCAAAATCACTACATAGTTAACGACACTCTTCTTTTCTTTTCTTTTCTTTTTTTTGAGACAAGAGTCTTACTTTGTCACCCTGGATAGAGTACTGTGGCATCCTAGCTCACAGCAACCTCCAACTCTTAGGCTCAAGCGATGCTCTTGCCTCAGTTTTTTCTATAAATAGTAGAGGACAGAGTCTCACTATGGCTCAGGTTGGTCTCAAACATGTGAACTCAGCAATCCACTCACCTCAGCCTTCCAAGTGCAGGGATTATAGACATGAGCCACCTCACCTGGTTTAATATTCAAAACTTTATTTATTTTTTATTTTTTATTTTTTTAGACAGGAGCCTCCAGCTGTCCCCCTGGGTAGAGTGCTGTGGTATCACAGCTCACAGCAACCTCCAACTCCTGGGCTCAAGCGAGTCTCCTGCCTCAGCCTCCCAGGTAGCTGAGACCACAGGCGCCCACCACAATGCCTGGCTGGTTTTTTTTGGTTGAAGCCATCATTCTTGTTTGGCAGCCTGGGCTGGATTCGAACCTGCCACCTTGGGTGTACGTGGCTGGCACCTTAACCACTTGAGCAACAGGCTCTGAGCCAATGTTCGAAACTTTAAAAGTAAGGTCACTTTACTTTTTCAAGGCAAAAATACATACATATTCTTCATAGAACATCTATAGTCTTCGGGCTTTATGTGTTCTCTTACTTCCCCGCATTGGTAAAAGGTGTGAATCGGGAAACGTAGGCTCAATTCAGTAAGTCACAGGACTGGTCATTCTCATTTTACTGGTGTCTAATACTCAAGATGCTCTTGGAACATGAATACCCAGGAGGAGGGCACAGCAGGCCCAGGTGTGTGCTGGATTATTTCCTTCAATCCTCATTTTACAGATATGGAAACTGAACCTCCTGAAAGACAGGATCATCACTGAACCTAAAACCACAAAGCAAATAAGAGAAAAAACCCTGGTCGTGCCATACCCATAAAGCCAAAATGCCCATCTTTTCCTTTATGCCACCATATCCCTGTGGCTAGACAGCCTTGTCCTCAAGGAACCTCAGTAATGGAGCTGGGGAAAGAAGCCACGTCACTCACAGTACCAACAAAACTTCTAAGAATGCACAGCTGGGGCCGGGCACGTGGCTCACACCTATAATTCCAGCACCCTGGGAGGCTGAGGCAAGTGGATTACCTGAGCTCAGGGGTTCGAATGAGCCTGAGCAAGAGTGAGACCCAACGTCTAAAAAAAATAGCCAGGTGTTGTGGGGCACTTGTAGTCCCACCTATTTGGGAGGCTGAGGCAAGAGGATCACTTGAACCCAAGACTTGGAGGTTGCTGTGACTCCACGGCACTCTACCCAGGGTAACAAAGTGAAACTCTTTTTCAAAAACAAACACACAGGCGGTGTCTGTGGCTCAAAGGAACCCAGACCTGGCCAAAAACTGCAAAACAAAAACAAACAAACAAAACAAAACAAACTGGTGTTTCATTTTTCTTCCATCCTATCTCTGTGTATCGGTTTCTTCAAAGATAAAACAAAATATAAATAGGATTGCAAGAGGACAGATGTTGAACTATTTGATAAATGTTTCATAAAATCATTTTTGTAGAGCAGCACCTGTGGCTCAAGGAGTAGGGTGCCGGCCCCATGTACTGGACATGGCGGGTTCCAACCAGGCCCCGGCAAAAACAAAAAACAAAAAACAAAAACAAAAAACAAAAAAAACTGCAAAATAAAAAATCATTTTTGTAGTAAGCCAAGTTAACAAAGAGAGAATCCATTTGTGATATCCCGCAGTTGACAGCCGTCACACCCCACTCCTCCCTTTCCCCTTTGTCCCACATCTAGGTAACCTGACCAGAGAGTTTGTGTGTGCCCTTGGTCCCTGAAGGTCTTAGTTCCTTGGTACAGGCAGAAATTTCAAACCACGCAAGGTCTATTCTAAGTGTTTGAACCTCCACCACTCATCTAACTACAGTAAAAACTTAAAGCTTCCTCCCTCAGTAATGTAGCTGGGGAAATGTAATGTAATGTAATGTAGCTCACTCACAACCCTTTTAGGGAATCCATGTGCTGTTGACCGTGTGAGTCATAAACCCATTTCACATCCACTGGTGCCCACGTGTCACTTGTCTCACAAGGTGAGCGGTGGGGGACGCCCAGCACCCACACCCAGCAAGTGACACTAAGCACCAAATAAACACCAACTGACTCCTTCTGCTTAATGATTTCTCAGAATAACTTGTCATGCTGTCAGGAAGACTCTAGTCTCTAAGAAGTTTTCCAGGGCAAAGACCAGGAATGAGCGCATCAGATTCATCAGTAGGTATGAATGAGTCAGAATTTAAAATACACTACAGCAAACTTTTTTTTTTTTTTTAGAGACAGAGTTTTACTATGCAGCCCTCAGTAGAGTGCCATGGAGTCACAGCTCACAGCAACCTCCAACTCCTGGGCTTAGGCGATTCTCTTGCCTTAGCCTCCCGAGTAGCTGGGAGTACAGGTGCCCATCACAACGCCCAACTATTTTTTTAGTTGCAGTTTGGCTGGGGCCACGTTTGAACCCACCACCCTTGGTATATGGGGCCAGCACCCTACTCACTGAGCCATAGGTGCAACCCGACTACAACAAACTTCTAAAAGAACTGTATTTGAAGGGATAAAATTAAATGACAAAGTGGAATACTATTGATCTTCAGTTACAATTTTACTTTTTTTTTGACAGAACTATTATAAATGAAAAGCTTTTTTCAATATCTGAACTACATATTCAATACCAAAACACAGAATCTTAGCTCTCACCCAAACGGCACTCCAAGGGCACCCAGGGGCGTCACCAGGACCGTGGGGACTGCAGTGTAAGCCAGGAAATTTCCAATCTGGCCAACAGCCACTGTGAAGAAAATACAGACACACTACCTGCAGTCAGAGAGCTCTCTTTTAGTGCTGGTCACATAGTGGAATTCTGCAAGGTTCTCTTCTAACAGGGCTACTTCTTTTCCATTACTTGTGAGGAGTCAAATCTGGTGTGTCATTTGCACATTTAAGGGTCATGGCGGCAGATAGCAGCTCCACAGTATCCCTGGTCCAACCAGTCAGGACAGTAGATTCAGCCCCTCATCAAAATGCCCAGCCTACCCAGCAGTGTGCGTGGCACTGAGTATATTTCTACTGTCTTAACACATCCTTGTTTCAAGCCAGGAAGAACTTCCTGTGCCCCTTCACATGGCCTAAGATCTGCTCTAGTGTGGGTAGGTGGCCACAGTGATAGGCGGCTTCCTGCACAGGACCGTTCCCGGGGCTACACCCAGACAGAGCTTTTAAAGGAGCTCTTCAGTAGATGGAATCACTGCTGGTTAAGCTGTGTCTTGGCTAAAAGATGGCACATGACAGATAAACCACATAATGTTTCTGAAGTTTCTGATATAATTTCCCTTCATACATTTAGAGCTCTGAACTTTAATTGTATTATTTGCTTTTACATTATAGCACACCAACTTTGATCTGGTCTTAAAGTTGAGTCAAGAATCTCATGGTTCATCCTGTGGTTGGCCATCTTCTCCTTCTCAACATATTGAAGGACAGCAGAGGCGGGATGAGCCTGGGAAGGTGGGGAGCAGCACCCTCTTCTGGACCAACCTCATCTCAGCCCCTCTACCCTGCTCTGACAACGGACCTTAACAAAGAAAGAAAAAGACCAGACTGTCTGCCTCACAGGCATACTTACTAGCAATGGTGCCGGCCCACCACACAATGTCTGTTAGGTAGGAAGTGCCTGCAGAAGAATGAAAGAAAAAACGGTCAGGAGAGAGTGTTTACAGGTCACAGGGGTCAGCGAGCGACACATCCAAAAGAGAAACTTTATCTGAAAACTAAAATTGAAAAGAATTGAGTGCCATGCTGTTTATTCACCCTCTAAAGAATGTTTTGTTTAGTCTACAAGTAGCAACATGAGAGGCCAGGAAAAGTGTTCAAGACAAGATATTTTTGCTGCCAACACAAGCTGATCCAAATAAGCAAATGAGAGCTTTATAAATTGGCTTTCTGTGCCCCAATAAGTCACCGAGGACACACAGATACACTCCAGAACAGCTTTATGTGGCTCTCAAATGAGATTGGGTCTTTAAAGCCCAAATGTCTCATGCATTTACTGTAACCCATTTAAAAGATAATTTTATTATCATAGGGTTCAATGACTTCCTGCTTAAATAAGTTACTCAACCTTCATAAACTGTAAGCCTTCTGAGATGGCTCTGCTTTTAACCACTAGAGCACTAGAGCCTCAACCTCCCTTGACACCTTCACATTTCACAGGACACTTGCTGTGCCTGTCAGGGTAACGCCCCATCCTGATGTAGGATGTGAGGCCCTTACTACCCTATCTGTCCCTCCTCCTGTCCTCTGGGACAGGTGCTTAACAGGGAGAGTCTCCTCACCTTTGAGACACACTTGTGCCCTCCAGATATGTCAAAATGCTCCTAGTGTGAGAGGAATTTTTTTTTAAAACTGCATATTGAAGTACCTAATTCTAATCAGATGTTCTATGCATAATTCTCAGTATAAAACACAGTGATTAAGTATAAGAAACACAGGGGGCCAGGCTGGAGGATCAGAGCTATGAAACTAAACCAATGTGTAATAATAGAGTAGGAATGGTAAAGTTAGACTATGACCATTTAGCTGGGCACAGTGACTCACACTGGTAATCCTAGCACTCTGGGAGACTGAGGTGGGAGGATGGCTTGAACCCAGGAGTTCAAGACCAGCCTGAGCAAAAGAAAGAATCCCATCTCTACTAAAAATAGGAAAATCAGCCAAGTGTCACGGCAGGCACCCATAGTCCCAGCTACTCGGGAGGCTGACACAAGAAGATCACTTGAGGCCAGGGGTTTGAGGTTGCTGTAAGCTATAACGCCATGGCATTCTACCCAGAGTGACAGAGTGAGACTCTGCCTCAAAACAAACAAACAAACAAAGAAAAAAAGAATACCACCATTTGACTACCAAGAATAATCAATGGATACTAAAATAAATATGCTGAGGCAAGAGAATCACTTGAGCCCAAGAGTCTGAGGTTGCTGTGAGCTGTGACTCCAGAGCACTCTACTGAGGGTGACATAGTGAGACTCTGTCTCGAAAAAAAAAAAATTAGGGACGACGACTGTGGCTCAGTAGGTAGGGCACTGGCCCCATATACTGAGGGTGGTGGGTTCGAACCCGGCCCCGGCCAAACTGCAACAAAAAATAGCCGAGTGTTGTGGTGGGCTCCTGTAGTTCTAGCTACTCAGGAGGCTGAGGCAAGAGAATCACCTGGGCCCAGGAGTTGGAGGTTGCTGTGAGCTGTGATGACACTGTACTCTACCAAGGGCGACAAAGTGAGACTCTGTCTCTAAAAAAATTAAAAAAATAGATGTCAGTTTATGCAGGAACAGGACTGTCACAAGAGAAAAGGTCATCTTTTTTTTTTTTTTTTTTTTTTTTGAGACAGAGCCTCAAGCTGTCCCCCTGGGTAGAGTGCCGTGGCATTACAGCTCACAGCAACCTCCAACTCCTGGGCTCAAGCGAGTCTCCTGCCTCCGCCTCCCAAGTAGCTGGGACCACAGGCGCCCGCCACAACGCCCGGCTATTTTTTGGTTGCAGCTGTCATTGTTGTTTGGCGGGTCCGGGCTGGGGATTCGAACCCGCCACCTTAGGTGTACGTGGCTGGCGCCTTAGCCGGTTGAGCTATAGGCGCCGAGCCGAGAAAAGGTCATCTTTATGAGACACCTGGCAGACAGCAGCAGTGGGACAGACAGCATTGTAGCCTCTGAGGGAGGCACACGGAGGACACAGCAAAATATCTGTCACACTCCTACCAAACCAAAGTCTGAAACGAACCATGAGGACACGGGAGACAAATGCAGACTGTGGAAAAGCCTAAGAATCAGCTGGCCTGCACGCTTCAAAAACAGCAAGGTCATGGGAGACGGAGGAAGGCAGAGGAACCACTGTAGGTTAAAGGGAGCCAAAGAGACATGATAACGGAACACAACACATGGCGCCTGACTTCGAGAAAAAAAGGTGTTATAAAGGACTGATCTTCCTTACCTTTTAAGCCAAAATTAGGAAAAATTTTCTGCACCCAAAGGTACTAGACAAGTCAAATTTTTCTCTGTGTTGGTAGCTGCCCCACACAGTTGCTGCAGGTCAAGGTGAAGTCCGTGCATGTGGTCCCCAAGGGTGTCTTTCCAGGAGCCCCCTCTGCTCGACCCTGAAGGATGTGCATGGCCCTGTGAGCCCTTCCACCTGTCCTCATGGAGCGGGATGCCCCACAGTCCTTCCTCCTCCTTCAGCCAGTAGCTCAGACAGCCTGCATTCCACATTAGTCCTCAGCCCTGTCTAAAGTAGATATTTTTCTGGTACATCCAGAAACAACCGGGCTTCTTCACAGCTTCACCCTCAAGTATCACTGTTCCTGAAGCTCCTGGAGTGACTCAGTGGCACCTGAGGAGACGCTGGTGCACTCCGGCTGGGCCCAGCTTCTGTTGCTCTTCCAGCCCAGCCTCAGCAAGCCCGGGAGCGCCGGTAAACACTGAGAGGTTTGTTTGCATTGCCACACTCACGCCCCTCCTCACTCCTACACCTGGGTGGCAGTAGTGGCTAAGCTCCAGGGCGGGGGGGGGGGGCCCCTACCTGCCACCACACGGAAATTTTTTTGTGCTTATCATCTTTTGTTAGTGTTTGTGTATTTAATGTGTGGTCTGGGCCAATTCTTCTTCTTCCAGAGTGTGGTAGAGAAAATAAAAGGTTGGACACCCCTGCCTGGGCTCCTCTCCACATCAGAAACTGTGAGCTGTGAGGTTGTTGATAATGGTTAAGGCAAAAGACAATGATTCGTTTGTGCAAAGACAAAAGAGATTTCTAGGATGAAAATATCAACTGGCAGTGATACTGGCCAACCATGATTATGGCTTTTTTTTAGAAGACAGAGTATCCTCTGTCACCTCGGGTAGAGTGCTATGCCCTCAGCCTTGCTCATGGCAATCTTAAACTCAGGTGATCCTGCTGCCTCAGCATCCCGAGTAGCTGGGACTACATGTGCCCACCACAACACCCGGCTTATTTTTCTAGTTTTAGTAGAGATAGGGTCTCAAACTTGAACAGGCTGGACTCAAACTTCTGAGTTCAAGGGATCCCCTGCCTCAGTTTCCCAGAGTGCTGGGATGACAGGTGTAAGTCAACGCACCTAGCCAGATGTATGGCTTTTAATACTTTGCATTTACTATAAATGTGATCAGAAATGGCCTCAAAATACAGCTTTCTAGTATAAAAACACAGACAATCGTCCAGGTTATTTACCTTCTGATTATTCCAGAAAAAACTGCTTTCACTCACTGTGCTCCTAATAGCAATGACAGAAGTTGCTTCTAAAGCAAAACAAGAGTGGATCACTAGTTTTTTGCACATTAATGGTTTGACTTCAAGAATGTATAAAAAAGGCCGGGGGTGGTGGCTTGCACCTGTAATCCCAACACTTTGGAAGGCTGACACAGGTGGACCACCTGAGCTCAGGAGTTTGAGACCAGCCTGAGCAAGAGCAAGACTTTGTCTCTAAAAATAGCTGCCTATAATCCTAGCACCCTGGGAGGCCAAGGCAGGTGGATTACTTGAGCTCACCAGTTCGAGACCAGCCTGAGCAAAAGTGAGACCTTGTCTGTACCAAAAATAGAAATACTGAGGCAAGAAGGTTGATTGAACCTGAGTTGGAGTTTAGAGGTTGCTATGAGCTATGATACCATGGCACTCTATGCAGGGCAACAGCTTGAGACTCTATTTCAAAAAAAAAAAAAAAGAATGTCTAAAAAGATGTCACATAGTTTTTACAGAGTTCTTTAAAAAGAAGGACAAAGAATCAAGAAATACCCTTTCCTGACACCAACATAGCTAGCTGAAGCCATTAGCGAGAATGAATCTGAACACTGATATTCACCTACTTCCTAATGGACTTAATATATACATGAAGCTCTTCTGCATGCAGAATTTATTTTCCTAAAGAAATGGTCTGACAATCATGTAAAAGAATAGTTATAGGACTTACACTATCTGATTTTAAGATTTACTATAACTACACAATCAAGATAGTGTGGTACAGGAGTAAGTGCAGATACACACAGTGGACAGAACACAGCTCCGACAGGGGTGCACACGCGGCCAGTCAGGTCACACTGCAGCCTCCCTGCCATCTCAGATACACACAGTGGACAGAAAAGAGCTCCGACAGGGGTGCACACGCGGCCAGTCAGGTCACACTGCAGCCTCCCTGCCATCTCAGATACACACAGTGGACAGAACAGAGCTCCGACAGGGGTGCACATGTGGCCAGTCAGGTCACACTGCAGCCTCCCTGCCATCCGATGGTGAGTAAAGGCATCTCTTCAACACATGGTGCTAGAACAACTGGCTGCTGGGAGTAAAAATACTGAACGTTGATTATTTCATCCCTTAGACTATACCCCCAAATTAGCTCAAGAAGGCTCATGGACCTAAAGGCAACACTAAAGCTATGGAGCTCTGATAAGACACAAGCAGACGGCACAGCAACCTGTAGAGAAGCAAATGGAGTGCCTGAACCTGGGAGTTGGAAGTTGCTGTGAGCTATGATGATACTACGGCACTTTACCCCGGGTGACAGAGTGAGACTGTCTCAAAAATTAACAAAATAAAACCAACATGAAAAGACAAGCCACAGAGAAAATACTTGTCATCTCTATGTCTAACAAACTACTTTAAAATATC